GCCGGGTTGCGGCGGTGGATGCATCCCATTGGGATCAAATTCGGGCTGCATCACAGGTACCATTGTGGGAGCTGCCATAAATGCAGCCAGCTGGTTGTTCTTGAAATTGCCCATCCCTTTGTCGCCGAGGTGGTCGCAGTTCATATGGCGGGTGAAGAGAATCTGTGCAAAGGATAGGACCCGCTCGACAACCTGCTGCTTATACATACTTGCCTGTGTCGGCCAGAGTCGGGATTTGACTAGGGCGACGATCGTTGAGAGGAAATAATAGTCTTTTGCTCCCTTGGTCATTAAAATGGACCGCTCTTCCAAAGCGATCAGGGCTGTTTCTACGAGTGATAGGAGCGACTCGGGGATACCGGGGATATTGTGGAGAATGAAGGTTGATGAGATGGGGTGGGATGGGGCAGCTGCAAGGTATGAGTTTGGGTTCTTATGATCGAGTATTGAATCGAAGGGAGAACTTACAGGTGTCGAATTCGGTTGTGTGTAGCAATTGGCAGATAGAAATGTAGGCTTGGATAGTCCATTCTCCAAGCATGGATAGCGATAGCGTTCGCGAGATCTCGTGTACCCGGCGCTGGGTTGACAGTATTCTGATCGCGGCGTCCATGCGAGTACGCGCGGAGGGAGCAAAGAGTGATTCTCGCCGTGCTTCGATGGCGAAAGGGGTGTGAACAGACAGTAAGGACTGTGAAAGTTTGGTCTCAATCAACCCTTTCCACAAAATTACTTTGTGTTGGGTGACGATGTCATTGGGGTCTGCTGTCACCCACGTAGGAACCCGAGAAAGATGCCGGGTGAGTTCGCCGTCTAGGCGTTGAATATCCTCATATCGACAGCTGATCCGCGGAGAGTGCATGAGAGAACATGCTTGAAGTCGAAGAGGTAGTGAGCGACTCATGATAGACTGGAAGGATGAGTCGGTAATTTCACTTATTGGGCGGCATTCGGGAACTTCAGTGCTGTTCTCGTGGATGTCGTCGTCGTGAATGTTCAGGCCCGGAGCCGCATCATAGTCGAAGCTTTGTACTGACGGTGGCATTCCCCGGTCAAGAGCAATCTGCAGGTCCAGTTCCACAATGGTGGTCCATATTCGCCGTCGCATCTCCTTATTGAATATGGAGATCCGTGTGTACCGGCTCGGGTCACGATGGTACCCTGCCATCATTGCTTGTTTGACCAATGTACTTGTTGTGAGCCAAGCCTGGCTGCGCCTCATCCCGTGGGAGTTATGGGCCAAAATCAACAGAATAGATAGTCGCATCGATGTGATCTCCGGACGCTTCGTGTGAAGATTCTCGATCCATTTCCCTGCGTGCAGCGTCCACTCCACTGCAGACTGGCACTTGAGTTCGCCCGCATTTTTCGACTGTAGACTAGCAAAATCTGCAAGGTTCCATGCACAGGAAAGGACCAGCAATAACTGAACTGCAAAGGCAGCAGATATTGAGGCCGGGCTGTCCAACATGGCCCAAAATTGGTCAAGTTCTCGTAAGAAGGACGGAACGTGAAGAATGCGGTGAGTGGACTCTATATAAGTGATATACAGACCAACCAGCTCATCAACCACACCACGCGAGGGCAGCATGTTAATTAGCGAAGCGGTAGTAGGATCGGGAAAGGGCCGAGTGATCACCATGACTTTGAATAGGCCGCGCTTAATCCTTCTCAGGTCTGGCTGAAGTTGCGCAAAAACCGGGGTAGAGAGTCTGACCTCCTCTGCAAACGATCTTATATCCGGAAACTGTGAATAGGTCAGCCTCCGTATTTTGATTGCCATTGTTAGAAAATGGAAACTGGAGAGCGGAGACAGACCTGTGCTACCAGGCTGGCAAAAATGCCTGAACCACTAAACCGCGTCTTAGTTTCACGGCCCCTCATCATCATGCGAGGAGCGAGGTCGAGCTGATCTGTAGGTGACAACGGGTCCTCTTCTTCGTCAATGTGCGCATCGTCGACCTGCGATGGTGCTTGCATATCATGCTCCGATGTGGGGGCCGGGCGCTTGGGACGCTGTAAAACACTCGTGTTCAGATAAGGTTCTTGATTAACAGCGGCTTTAGGAGCACCAAGAACAGTTTCCAAAAAGCAGTCCTTTCGCTCTCTGTCGTGTGGTCGACCTCTGTAGGGAGGTGCAAGAGCATGGCCCGTAAGACCATGATACTCGTGATGCATTGGACCGCCAGCCATAGCCATGCGAGGTGGATCACTAGCTGGGAAAGTTTCCGTCCGAGTTGACACCGTCGGTATCCCCGAATCCGGAGGTGTCTCTATTGGTGTATCTCTGGACATGGATACCCCGGAGCCTCGGTCGGAGGTAAATGCAGTATTTGTGACAGTGGTGGGCTGCTGCCATAGAAAGCCATCCTCATATGTACATTTGCTCGGGGTTCTGCTCTTCAAACACCGACTGCAAGTTGGATACTCGCGATCGCATCGCAACTTGCGCGTGCGACACTGGGTGCACGCCATTGTGCGGCGCCGGCGCTTTCGCACACGATCGGGCTGGATATTGCCTTGAATATCCATACTCTCAATGTTGTAGACAAGCTTATACTTGGGAAAGATCTTACAGCCGAGATGTTAGGAAAGTCTCGTGGGAATTGGCTCCAGCTCTCGGCTTACGTGGTCCCGCTCTGGGTCGTGGAACTGCCTAATCCGGAAAGTCTGACCGAAGTCGCGTTTTTATTTTTTATTTTTTATTTTTTATTTTTCTTATTTTATTTTATTTTCTTTCCTCCCACTTGATATGCATCACTCAAAGAACCAAAGAATAGGACATCTCTCTTCTTTTCTTCTCTTCTTCTTTCTTCGCCATACCCTGCATATTCCCTTTCGTGTATATTTTTCGCTGACCCACAAAACCCAAGCCCCCGATGGTTCCGTGAACAACCGGATGCCAAGGGGCTCGGCATGCACTTGTTTGTCATTGACATGGGGTATATTTTCCTATCTTTCACACTTTGCAAGTCATATCTCCCAAGGCCTACAGGGAAATATTCAAGCATTGGCAATAGGCATTGGCAATAGGAAACCACCTCCCTTGGCAATAACACGCGATAATTCCAATGTTGGTCTAATTTCGAACCACGACAATAGCCGTATTAACACTGCCCATATACGTTGGACGCGTTCATGCCTTTGGTTTACTTGCCATGCTGGTACGAGCAGTTATGTAGTACTCTGCACACAGGGTTGTTTCACCTAATTGTTACTCACAGAATAGGACTAATGAAACAAGTCTTGCCTGGAAATACCCGACGCCATGTTTGACCTGGTTTCAAAGTCTGTTTCACTAGTGCTCCCTACTTCAATCGTCGAAATTTTTCTACCTTATTCTGCCCTAAACGAGAATTTCGATGCGATACACAAGACGCAAAGGTGGCCGTCTTTGTACAGTTTCTGTTTCACGACACCACAGACGGTTCACTATACGCTATTTTCCAAACACGTGGGCGAGTTGAGGCTGATATTGAGTGCTAAATTCCCGCGCATCTGATAAGGCTGGGCTTCAGGTATACCTCATCAGGCTCAACGAATAATTACCAGCCATTTAAGGTTAGTAGGATACGACGTGATATGATGTGTTGATGTAAATCAAATACAGGGATGCTAAGTGGCCGTAATTCACCGCGGCGTTAAACTAAATAAACTAGCCTCAATATAAAATGGGGTTCTCAAAAGAATCGTCTCCACTTAACATTAGAGATCCTAGTCTGGAGATAAATAACCCTGTAAGCTCGGGGTTCGGCATTTCAACCCGACTCCGGGCGTCGCTCGGAGATACTGGGCTCTATATCTATCTCCAGATCTCCACGCAACCTTCAATTTCCAAAACGTCTCCTATACTCAGCTTGCAACTTCCAACTTTACCTTCACAATTGAGTCGCACCTTGACCATGCTGCGTTCCTTGCTTTCCTTTGGCCGCACAGGCACCAACGACTTCGTTTTTCCCAAAGTGGATCCAAAAGAGGACGGCCCCGAATGTTTAAAGGACTGCGCCGACTGCACGATACAGTTTCCGTCAAAAGTCAAAGTTGAGACGTCGGGACCTCTTTATGGCCAAATCAAAGAATTCCACGCCCATGTTCTCGTGGCAACGGGTCAATCCGACTGGAAGGAAAAGCATGTCGAAAACATGACAGGCAGCTTGATGGAAGCATTCGATGGGGCAAAGTCAGATCACGGTGTATGCTTTCAAATTCGCATCTAGTCAGCCTCCACTAATACCCAAACCAGCGCATGATGGTCTCGGCATCAAATCTCACTCCTCCAGAACAACAAACCACAGACGAAAATTCCAACAAAGCTACAACAGTTTTAATTTTACCATCATTCACATATATCGACTCTGTCACTCAAACAGACGTTCCAGATCTGATATCCAGATACATCGACCACCCCACCGAACAGCAAAATGAAAATGGCACCGTCTCTCCTACGGATGGGATGAGCGCTCGACCCTGTGAACTTGACTACGTGATACTACTGTGTTCGCACGGGCGCCGAGACGCGCGCTGTGGTATTACAGCGCCACTGATTAAGCGCGAGTTAGAGCGACATCTCCGTCCGCTAGGGCTGGATCGGGATGCAGATGATTCCCGGGCTGGTGGAGTTGGGATCTTCTTCGTCTCGCATGTCGGCGGACACAAGTTCTCCGCAAATGTTTTGGTTTATCGCAAGAAGGATCAGCAGATGATTTGGCTCGCGCGTGTACGGCCTGAGCATTGTGAGGGCATTGTCAAGTACACTGTTCTCCAGGGAAAGGTTGTTCACGCAGAGTCACAGTTGAGGGGTGGGTTCGATCGGGTGAAGGGGTTAACGAGTTGGTAATTGGGAGATAATAGAGCTAGGACTGGATTTGGTTTTGATTATTTTAATACATTAATAGCAGGGGAAATGAGAAATCTACGGTCTTTAGGCAAGAATTGGTATTATGTATGTATCAGATCCCTCTCGCTTTTCTTTTTTGTCTCTTACGTAGCAACATAAAAACTTAAGAACGACAACGATCAAACCAGAGCTTTTCTTCCTTCATCGCAGGCTCCAACAGAAGTCCAACTCTTTGAGCAACACCCGAGGCATTAATATAGAATTCCACTGGGAAGGGGGAGATCAAGTCCAATCCTTCACTCTGTATTCTTCCTACGAAGAATTCTCCGCTTGCATGAACAAACAACAATTCACACGGGATCACTCGATCCTGCAGGTCAGCGATAAGCCAGTCATTGATTATCTGGATGGTAAAGGTTGCACCCGTGGGGTGTCTGTATGTTCCGGTATATCCAGATATATGTAATGAATATGGAATCGGAGAATCAGGCAAAGGAGAGAACAACCGCTGCTTCGAGTTCTCTATGTCTTCACTTTTAAGACTCGACTCCCAGGCCTCAGTTTGTCTTTCAATACAAGCAGCAACCTGCTCCTCATATTTGGGATCGTCGGATAGACCAAGCCGCCTATCCAAAAGATAAGTGACCAATCTAAACGCAGCATATCGAGCCGAAAACGAATTGCCCATAACCACAAATCCAAATTTTTTCTCGGGGACGAAGCCCACCCAACTCGCGTAGCCAGGCCAACCACCGCAATGGCTATATAAATGCTGACCGCGGTAGTTATCCACGACCCATCCGAGCGCATACGCATGATACGGAGCTGGCAGATTCAAGTCATCGTTCTGGAAATATATTGTCCGCGGATCCGTTAAGCTGTCATGTCCTTTCAATGGTCCGGCTCTTTCAATCCACTCCCGCACCCAATTGGCGTAGTCGAGAACGTTACTGACGATAGCACCAGCACCGCTGTTAGCTGGCCAGTCATGCTCTGGCTGTGGGACAAACTTTCCGCCTTCATTTGTACGAACCCAGTTGTATGGTTGTACAACCTTTGTAGCGGTTGCTGGGTTTGCTTTTGCTTCGCTTGACGAGAAGAACGTTTCGCTCATACCGAGCGGGTCCCAGATGCGGTTCTTCATGAAAGCTCCTAGCGTTTCGCTGGTATATTGCTCCAACGCATGCGACACGGCGATGCACATATGATTACTGTAGTGGTACTTGGTGCGAGGTGGCGTTGCGAGAGGCATGTGTCGCATCGCGCGGACTATCGAGCCTGGTGTTGCGCCCTTCTTTGAAAATAAAGCTAAGGTCCAGTTATGCTCAGGCATGCCCGACCGATGAGATAGCGCATCTTCGAGTGTTATATTCTGGGTCGCGTAGTCGTTCTCCAGGACAAAATCTGCTGGAATTAGGGAAGCCACGGGCGTGTTCCAGTCGATTGGGAACTCGGTGGCCTTGCTGTCCTGGATTGCTATGGATGTCGTCGCACCAGTAAAGGCCTTGGTGGTGCTACATGTTGCGAACAATGCATCGGTGGTCATCTCCCTAGATCGTCGACCTGTGCTGTCATCTGACAGCTCTGCCTTTCCATATGCCTATACTCCGTGAGCATGTAATGTGTCAAGTGGATCAGTGGGATTACCTTAGTGTAGGTATTGGGGCCATGGATAATCGCGATACTCAAACCGGGGACTTTCCATTTTTCCAGTTGCTCTTTGACAAGAGTATCAAACTCATCATCGAATGGTGGTTGTTCGGATGACATAGTCAGTATATGTGTTGAAGAGATTCAAGGATACGCAACGTGATGATATTCAAATAGGTCGTGACAGCTGGGCTTTATCACTGGCCTCCAGGCTAGGCAGAGCTATTTCAAATAATCTCACCCCCGCACGTCCAAGGCTCCAGACTACGAGGGGGTAATTGCGATTCCGAGGTCATTTGAACTAAGCCTTTATTGGCGATTTTGGAAAGCTCCGTGTCCAAATCAATCAAAATGTCATTAATATATGGTATTCGCTTCAACGCTTATAGTAATTAGAGCCACAGTTAAATCACAAGCACATGGTCGCCTAGTGATCTAAACATATCCCACCAATCCCCATTATGCCGCGGTGACTTCCATAAATCTTCCAACGCCGCGCGAACCAACAGCACGGAGTTGAAGCGCAAATATTTGTATATAGAATCAAGTCTCTCCGAGACAAATGTCTGCTGATCTTGTAGGAACGTGTGGGCGCCCATGATGTATAATGGGAATATTATACAGTTGTGGGCTTTAGAAAGAGGCGAGATATTTCTGATACATTCCACGGCAGACTGGACATGCTGCTGTACCAATGAATGCCTCGGCGGAAGGCCACATATTGCTCGGTAGAGGTAGACGAGGGCACTATGTTGAAAGGCGCGCGTAAATGAATCGGCCTGCATCCTCGGTTCGAGCGTCGATTCATGCACCATGTAGGTATTGGGATTTTTGATATGGTCGACATTGAGGATCTGGAATGACGGCTGTAGACACCGCTCAAAATCTCGCACGACTTCCATTGAAAGCGTCTCCGGGTCTCCCTTGATTTGCTGGCGATAAAATGACATCTCTGCCATTATCCTAAACACTGATGCTAATGTTGTGCCGTCGTATGTTTCTTGGTCCCACCAGACTGTTCCGTGTTCTATCTGTGTCCAGATTTCAGCGGGAAAGCAAGGAGACCGGTCGTCCAGGAGAGCCTTTGTCAGGTCTGTGGATGCAAACTCTGATAAGAGCATTGTGATATCCTTTTGGCCCATTTTGATAAGAGCTGTGAATCCTCCGAGGTGATCGACAATTGCTTGGACGCCCACGTGATGACTTGCCGTCGAAGCAGATTGATGATCACATTCAATAAAGCCGTCCAAAAAGTACAGCAGAAATACTGCGACCAGAAGAGGCGAAAGTGATCCCTGATTGGAATTATTATTTCGAAGCTGCTCTCTGACTGAAGCCAGGCAGCTCATTCTTTTATCAAACGGTGCGCTCACCGTACTATTCCCAGCCTCATCTCGCAGTGTACGATGCGCCTCGGCCAATTCGCATACAACCAGAAGCACCGGTTGGAATTCCATGGCTAGAGGGATGGGTGGAGGGCAAGGATGAGCCGCAGTGGTGAAAAGAGGCCACACGGCGAATTGAAAATATTCCAGGGCCTTGCGATCCCTACTGGCCAAGGTATTGTCATTTAAATGCAGGTTGAGGCTCGTAAATGGCGATTGATGCACGGCTCGGTTTTGTGTTGGTAAAGTCTTTTTCCACCGGATCAAAAGCTTGTCATAACAGCACTTTGCCTCAGACGAGATGCATCTCTGGCACAAGGGTTTCCCCAGATCACATTTCACCCGGCGTTGTTTGCAAGGCCAACACGAGCCCTGGACCGTACGCTCACGTTTTGGCGGCATAATTCTAGAGTTGTCATTGCGGGACAGAATGAAGAGACAAAATGGGAATAAACGTTGGGAAGGTGCGGAGGTCTTGGCCAAGATAACCGAAGAAGTGGAGACCCGTGGACGCGAAACCGATAAGAACATTTGAACTGCGGGGATGTCACATGATTACGTCATGTATTTACACCACGTGGAAGGCACGTGCATCATGGTTAGGGATATGTGCAACTTGTCTTTCTTTCGTCCGTTTGAGCAAAAAAAAATATAAAGTTGTATTGTTGACAAACTAGGTGCTGCTCCATGCTGGGAAAGTTCAAACTTGGAGGGCGAGTGCGCTCACATCGCTATCCTTGATACCGAAGATGGATGCTTCAGAAAAAGCTACCTTGTCTGTCCATGAATAAATGGATATAGGCTATACACATCTATATTGTCTGTTAGATAGTCAGTTTCTAGCAGGCCCCTTTTATCGGGTCATTGACAATGGCGACCTGTAATTTGGATCGCTGTCATTTGTATTCGAGTGACAGATCAACGATACTGAATGGAGTGATTGACTTACTAGATTGTAGGCCTTCTGCAGTCCGTTTATGGGTTTATTCTATCACTAAAAAGGGGTAGCATATAGCAAATCATAAATTCCACAAGGATTCATAGGGATTCCGCTCACTAAAAAGAGGCAGCATATAGCAAATCACAAATGATATCCATAAGGATTCGTTGGGATTTTATAGGGATTCCGCAAGGATTCCACAATAATTAACTTGCCAACCCCTATGGGACCAAATGATGGGAGTTGGTAGGTCTAACAATAATAATACGTGGGGAGTCGAACGGCGACAGCACGTGACTCTTCCGGGCGTAATAATATAGTTGTTGTTACACTACCGCCTTGATCGAGCTCGCGTGAATTAAAAAAAATAGGTAGCTTCTCTTTGATTGAGCGTGTCATCCTTAGTGCAGGGGCCATGCTAATCTTCTCTGTATATTTTCATTTGACCATATGCCCCGAAGGGCGAAATAACTTGCGTTCGGTTCAATTTAACCCCACTTTATGCGCAGAAAAGTACCGCCTTCCTTATTAGGAAGAGAGTTACCATATTGCAGAATCAGACCGCCTACCAGCTTGGTCTTGACTTTAATTAGTTCGCGTCGCGTGACGCGCATATCGATCGATTTACGGCCAGGCTGCTCTTCTTCCAGGTTGGTTGTCTGGTACCACATACAATGCAACAATGACCGACAACGTTCTTACTTCCAGTGCTGAGGTTGGCGCCGAAGCTATCAATGTTCGCGCAGAATTGAAAACATGGGAGAAAGCTTTCTCGTCAGCCAATGGGGGCCGCAAAGCTGGACGGGATGATATCAAACAAAATCCCGATATTGGTATGTCAAGTATCGTGATATTGATTTCAATGAAATGGATTACTAATTAGACATCTCTGATTCATTAGCGGCTAAATACAAGGAATACAGTCGCCTGAAGGCCCTTGAAGCATCCCTAAGCCGGCGCGAAAATAGTCGGCAGGAGCCATATGAAAGTCACTCAAAAAAGCGGAAACATGCATCCCCCCCTGGCCAAGATAGTGCACATCTTCAAGTCACACCCCGCAAATCATCTAGAGGACTCTTTGCGACTCCGTCCAACAATCGCACCAAACACCACCCTGCACAACTCGATCCGTATGACTCGCCCTCGACTCTTCGCAGACTGTTTAGTCCCAGTACACACCGACAAGGGCTGCCAGCACCATCGCCATTGAAGGCCGCAATTGGGCCTACACCTCAACGTGATGGAAAGACATTGGGCCTGTTCGACATGCTATCCGAATCTGGAGGCAGTGGTGGGACGCCCTCCACAGCAAGGAAAACCAATAATCTAGCCGCCGCGTTCCGAACGCCCTCCAAAAAAGAGGCCCATGAACACTATGCCTGAGGTTCCGGAAGAAGAGCCTCAGCAGGAGACGCCTAGACTTGCGCGAACACCTGCGTCTGAGACTAAACAGTTCTATCTTGCAAATCTGTTCGCAACGCCGACTACGATGCGTTATGCCGCAATGGTAGAAGCGGATGATGATGTAGATTCACAGAAGATAAATCCGCTAAACCTGGCCCCTGAAGTATCACCACAAGAGGCGCAATCTGGAACGCCGTCTTTCCTTCGTCGCTCTAACTCTGGCCGTTATCCTCCACCTAGCGCAAAGCATGATGGCCCAGGACTTAGTCCTATCGTTTCCCGCAAGCCACAAAGATTCGCCAGCAAGGGGCTAACGCATTTGGTCCAAGGCCTGCGTGAAATGGAAGAAGATCGTATGGATGACGACTGGGAAGTGATGCGCGAGATGGAGGAAGAGGCAGAGGCGGAAGAAGCTGCCAAGGCACAGGTTGAGGACAGTCAAGGACCAGATGTGAACCGGAAGTACAAGAAGAAGGGCCAGAAACGGACGACACGAAGAGTGATCATGAGACCGGTCATCCATCAACCGAAGCCCAAATCAAACCCAGCGGTTGCAACGGATGAGGACTGGGAAGGCGAGGATGATGTCGTAGCAGTTCCGGAGACGCAGCAGCCACCTCCCAGTACTGACGGCTGGGACGATGTCCCGAGTGACATTGAGCGCGCAGAGGAGGCCGCTTCTCTTCATACCATGTCGGAGCCTGAGCTTGATACCGAGGCTGAATCAGATCCGGACTCGGACGATGATCCCGAATTTGGAGAACAACAAAAGCCTGTTTCCAGACCGAAGAGTTTCTCGGAGAGAATCAAGGAAGCTGTTTCATCCTCTGCTGCGAAACCACAGGAAAAAGAACCATTGGGCAAACCTCCGAAGAAGCCTTCCGAGACTGCTGAAGCAAAGAAGCCTCGTCCCCGGAAGATCAACCCCCAAGCTCATGCGAATTATCGATCAATAAGCATCAACCGGGGAGGTTCCTCGCGGGGTAGAGGACGTTTCCGCCGGAAGTAAGAACCGTGCAGCCCTGCCTGCTTTTCATGAAGTGACGACTACATTCATATATTTATTTAGCATCCATAGCACCTTCAATTTCAGATATTCATAGCGCGCTCCACCTGTCCAGATCCGAGAACTATATACTAAACAATGGAATAATCGATTCCGCAGTCCCGAGCAATAGTACCTGTTCAACAGAGCAGATAGAAGCAACAAGAAATTCTAACGTGTTGGCGAGCTGTAGTCAAGATAATGGTGGTTCTCTGGAACCAACCTACCAAGGAAGCACAAGATTATATTTGGTAGGGCAGTTGTAAGCAGATGCGTTATGTGGCTGAAGGAGATGGGCTCTTATGATATGACAGATCTATAATCAGGGAACTAGTGGGGTCATTCAAATCTTGCCCGTTGCTATAACCGTTCGAATAAGGAAATGAATAATAGGTCTTACCAAAGTTTGGAGTGCCCCGTGTAACCTTCGAACAATACTTGTGTTACCCAACAGGTACATGTTTATAATAACAGCATTAAAAACAGGGTGGCTCTTTCCTTCCTGGGTGATTGTTGATGTTGCCATTTTTGGTAGACTTTGCAGACTTAAAAACAAGCCTTCCCAGCATATACTCTTCTCTTTCCATCCAGCCAGCAAAGATGGTCCCGTTCTGGTCTCTCTTTCTGCCCTTTCTGCTATGATTCATTCTCAAGGAATTGCAAGGTGGAAGATTGGTATGGCTTTCGATCTGCCTCTCGCGGCATGCTCTGATAAGCAAGGAGAAGAAGGTTGAGTATTATATACCTTTCATTTCCCCTTCACACTGATGTCCTTCTTCTCTTAATGTGCCCACCAGCCGAATGTCTGAGGGATCCTTCTGGGTTTCGATACTAACTATCGTTCATAGCCGGTTTCAGCCTAATTTAGGCCACTCTTAACATTTGGGTTTCAAACGTCATCTATTCCGTGTAAGGTCTGACATTGGAATTCGAAATAGCTTGGTCACACTCTCCACACTCAGTAGGCCGGACGTATGGCCCGTTTGAACGGATGGCTCCGATGGTAGTTGACGTTTCCTTGTATTTAGTATGGGACGACTCAGCGTGCAAGCGCAGGTCGATGTCGACATGCTTGTTGGCACTTGAGCAGGGTCAGTTGATTAGCAGTATTTTCTTTCTTTTCTGTTAATATCGGCTCTTTCTCTCATAAGAGGGGGGTGAGTGGAGGAGTTTAGCCAAGCCTATAATCTAAAATTCGTGCCCAAGACCTCCAATTTGAGGGCGGATGGAGAGAAGGAAAGCCCTATTCCTAAAACTATTTTCAATGTATAGGGATGTAGTAATAATCAGGGATTGACTCTCTCCCTATACAATTATCAAAGTTGTAGATCTAATATCTTCATATTGAGCTGCATGTCTAATATGGATTATATCGCTGTTGAGCCTGCTGTAGCCGCCTGGAGCGATCAAGCGCTTCTTGGGACCTGGACCCGTATGGTCTTCGAGATCTCTGTAGCCTGCGATTGTTTACAGGAGTCGGCGTGCGATCCGAGGAATCAGGGTTCCTACGTGCTCCTTCAGACGCACTCCGTGGAGTATTCGAGTACTGAACATGACGATCCCAGTCCTCCAAAGAAGTATATGGGCTTCTCAACCACGCCTGTAACTCGTGGAGGAATAGACAGGCATTCTCGCGGCCGATAAAATCACGTAACAGCTCCTCCGCCTGTCCAGCACTGCCTTTGAGATCGACCGTGCGCAAGATAGCGATGATATATTCCAGCAGAAACTCGGCATTATTCGCCCTGCGATTCTCCAGCCGTTGAGGTCCAGGGCGCGAGACCTGGTGGGATGTCCGCTCTTCTTCTACCGGTTCCGGATTCAAGAAAGAGAAGACCCGTAGTTCACGACGGATCCACTTCCGAGCACGCGAGACAAGCTCTTCGTCGCGGGCGAAGAGCTCTGGAGTTAGTTCTCGATACTGAGACAACCGATTGGATCCGACCCGCATGGAGTATGTTTGGTTGCGATAGACATTGCGCCGGCGCTCGAGCGGGTCATCTGGTTGTGGCCGCATCGGGGGTGGAGGCCGACGCCCTCCTCGTGGGCCATGGCGATTGCTAGGGCGCGATCTAGTAGTGACTTGGGCTTTCGGGAATGTTGCGCTCGGGGGCGGGAGCTTGTATAGCTTCGGACCTTGCGTGGCGTTGAGGTCGTATTGCACTGCTGTCAAGTCGACTTTACCTGGTATATTGTCAGTACTCAGGTCAGATCCGGTATGTATCTCTAGAGTATTCTTACATAAGGGACATTTGGGCTGCTGCTCGGTCCAACTGACAAGGCAGAGAAAGTCAAAGTTGGCATGTTGGCATGGCCGTGCCACACATGGCTCTGTGATAGTGTCTAGGCAAATAACACAAGGATTTGCAGCCCCCTGCTCCTCGTCAGCTACCTCTTTGAGAGTCCGCTGGAGGATTTCCTGCCGCAAATCGACATCATCCATACAGGCGACATGCCAGGGGTGGGTTGTAGGAGGTTCGTTCCTGAAGTCACGTTTGTCACGTTTATCGCGTTCTCGGCGGCAAAACCGAATTCTCGGGACCTCCGTCACCGCGCTTGCTCGTTTTGCGACTTCAACTCTGTTTATCTCCCAGCTATGCGCTAACTTCCTCTCTCTCTTTTCCCTGATAGAATGCGGTCTGCCAAAGCGGTCGTTTCAGAAAAACTCGCACGCCTCGGCTCTACCAATATGTCGTACAGCACAGGAAGCGGGATTCAGCGCCCACCGCATACCATCACCTCACTACGGCGTTGGTCTATTGTGAACAAGGAGTTGCCGGGTTAGCTCTCATTACAGTCCATTCCCCTGCCATGTATCTAACAAGGTTTTTCTCTTCCAGCTGTTTCTCAAATTCGCGCAATTCACGTCTACGATTTCGATAACACCTGTGAGCATATGCAAACTTGGGATAATCCGACAGTCGACCCCTAACCTCCGCGCTCGCAGTATTTCTAAGTCCCCTACCAAATCCTCAGTTATGGCATGGCTCCTCAATCGGTTTCCTTCAGACCAATGATAGTTTCGCAACTGGAGGATGGTGGCACGACCCCAACATTCTCGCCGCTACAGGAAAAGGCATCGAGATAGAAGAGCCTCGCAAATGGGAAGGCTGGTGGAATGAGCAAATTGTGTGCCATCTATCGTACATTGCATCTTCGGGGCGTTTCAACTGACTCTTTGAAGCTTAGTTTGGTTAGGAATAGCATGGAGCAGAAAGATGCGCTCACGGTGTTGCTGACCGGTCGAAGTGAGGCCGGATTTTCAGAGATCATCAAGCGGATGGTCGCCAGTCAAAGTCTGGAATTTGATCTGATTGGTCTCAAGCCCGAAGTTGGTCCAAATGGTCAACGGTTTGCGACGACGATGAACTTCAAACAGAACTTCCTTGAGGATCTTGTTTTCACTTACGAGCAGGCTGCGGAAATCCGCGTCTACGAGGACCGTGTCAGGCAGTAAGTCCCCCGCCAATCAAATTGGAGAGTCTGAGCATGCCAAGGTGTTAATCTTCTACCAGTGTGAAAGGGTTCCGAGACTTCTTTGAGGGTCTGAACAGAGACCTTCAAAGTGGACCTTCTAGTGAACGCATGCCCATCCTTGCCGAAGTCATCCAGGTAACTGAGGGCTGCACATACCTCGATCCCGTAACTGAGACTGCTGAGGTGCAGCGCATGGTCAATGCCCACAACCTCACACTGCGCAACCCTGCCTTGAACGTAACCAAGAGCCGCTGTGGACGGATGTATATCAAGCGAGTTGTGTTCTACACGGGATATCTGGTTTCTCCAGACGTTTCAAACAGCATGACGCAGAATTTGCTGGCTCCATTACTCCCCCAGGGCTTGCTGAATCAAATGACCTGAAGTACATGGCTAACAGCATCCTAATTACCCCACGCCCAGCGCCCCGTTCAATCCTCGACAAGGTTGGAGGCATGGGGAAGAAACTAAAGTGGCAGGTTACCGGAACCGGGAACCTGGAGAACAAGATATGGGCGGCCCGCGTGGCGCCTATCCCAGCAACAGAAGCATATCACACTGAGAACCCACTGCCAATTGTAGTACTGGCTGTTCGGAAAGGCGCTCGTCTCATCGATGCAGGGAAGATCCAAAACTGGCACCCCATTCCGGCGGACAGGGCCATGACGTTTGACACTGTGGTCGGCGAGAAGGTTGTCCTACGAGTTGAAGACACCGGAGAACACCGCCAAGGCGAACAATCCTTGAACAGGAGTCAAAAGAGACGCTTCCAGCAGGAGGACGAAAATGTCGTCTGGCCGCCCAGTCAAAACACCGGCTTTGAGGGCCCATCTCATTCCCGCGGCAACTACTCCTCTCAGCGCGGCGGAGGTGATGGGCGTCAGCAATATGATGATAGTTCGCGAGGAAGAGGAGCCCATCGTGGTCGTGGCAGAGGTTCCGGACGTGGGCGCGGTAACAACACCCGAGGCCGTGGCCGAGGCCGTGGTCGAGGTGAATACTACCAGTACAGGTCGCTGGATGACCATAGCAATGGATATGACGGTGCATATGATGGCAAGGGAGGACAAAATGGTGGAGTTGGAAGAGGGGGTTACTCCATGGACTATTGATACTCGACCTGTATTCGGGCACCCCAAAGCCGCAGTTTCGAAATGCTTATCCACAGGCTGGTCTGCGGTATTATCTGTAACTTTACGATTCTTTATTATGTCCAAGTTTAATTCGGCTTGCATTGAAAACTTGTAGTCTCTAATGGAAAGGATTACAGAAAGTTGACGACTTTGAGACCATTAGGAAATATATTCTCATCCATAGCGATATCTACGTGGCTACAGAGAGCCACGAGAAGAAACCTAATTGTTGTAATCTCCTAAATCTTCGCACTGCCGTGAAGCAAAATGCTCATTATATGCTCCATGGTGACAAAGAGATAGGTCTGACAACCCGCACCTTGCTGCCTTGCTGCCTCGCTGCCTAAGTGCATCACATTTGAGGTGATCGACCCTAAACTTCGCTATCAGTTCTTCGGAGACTTGGCATGGAAGTCTGCCAGAACGGCATCAGAAATCTTCAAAGCCATAGCGTAGAAAACAGTCATGACATGGGAAGATACTTGAGTCGGCGGGATCGAGCCATCAACCACGCGAAGGCCCTCAACACCATACACTCGAGCCTCAGAATCAACAACTCCACCAAGCTCCTTTGCCATCATCGAGCAGGTTCCCACAGCGTGCCAGTTGGCGCGGAAGTTCTGCTTCACATAATCCACCCACTGATCCAAGTCGGCATCATATTCCAAGTTGTCTCCAGGTGTAGTCTCACCATCAAAGTAGGTCTGCATAGCACCGGTGTTGGAGATCTCGCGCGCCAGTTTGGACCCAGCAGCTTGGCCAAGAAGGTCCAGGTCGTTCATGAAGAACTTAGGATCATAGGAAAAGCGTCGCAGGTAGGGGTCGTTACCCTGAATATGCACAGATCCACGGGTGAATGGAATGAGATCCCATAGATCAAAGTTGATCTTGCCGGAAGTATCGAGGAACAGTTCCATATAGGCAACTTCTTCGTTGACTAGCCAATCACGGTAGTTCTCATACTGGATCTCGAGAGCAGTCACATTATGGAAACCACCGCGAGCAACGGTCTGAGTGGCCCACTGGTGCAACTTGGTATTGAGTAACTTGTGGGCCTGAGGAGCGTAATCCCCAAACGTCTCATTGAATGTAGCGAAATAGATGGCCTGGCCTTGACCATTGCCGGAGGATTTGGTACGGGAGGTCACAGTAGTGGTTGTCTGGTCCTGCATGTTGAGACCGACAGGGAGGTCAACAAGTTGTTGAATACTGGCGGCATCGAGCACAGATTTCAAGCCAATGCCCGAGTATTCTAGGATACGGGGGAGACAGCAGAACCAGAAGCTAGCAACACCTCATGCTTAGCGTATACATTGCAGTTGACATTCTTGTTGGTACCGAAGTTTACGCCAACGGCCTTGTGACCAGGAACAGCCCCAGAAGTGGTGGTTTGATTGATGAGGACTTTTCCAACAAACTGGCCTGTCAAGACTTGCAGATTCGGGCGCTTGTAGTTAGGCAAAAGCCATTCACGTGCAGCATCTGAGCGAACCTGATCCTTGTGTAGTCCATTGGGAATCATAGAAACACCACGAGGAACACCACAGTGGAAGTCCAGCTGGGTAGGAACACCACGTCCCTTGACAGTATCCATTAATGACTTCATTATCGGGGAATAGGGCTCTCCGTTGTTTCGGGGCCCAGCATGAACGGTGCCATTCGTTCCATGGCAAGTAGAGTTATAGTAGTGACCAGCGGCAATCTCGACATCGCTTGGAGGACGAGCGATCTCGACCTTCTGCATGTATGGTAACATGTTATCCCAGTTCCAGCCTTTGTTTCCAAACACTTTCTCCCAAGAATCGATCTGGGCTTTGTGGGGGCGTGTCCAAGAGCCACCATTGATCAAAGTCGATCCTCCAAGACCATTTCCAGATCGGACGTTCTCGGTACGGTTATTTATGGAGTGAGGGACGGTTTCATAGGCGTGGTCAACGGTGGTGCCAAAAATATCTCCGTAGTCGTTCAGATCCTCGATGATGTCTCCATCGCTGGACTCATAAAAGCCGTTTTCAATGACCAGGACCTTGATGCTGGGGTCCTCGGTCAACTTAGCGGCAACGGTGAGGCCCGTCAAGCCACCTCCGGCAATTATATAGTCAACAGTCTTGCCAGCGACCTGAGTAGGATCAGAAAGAAGACTGGACTGGACATCAATCTGCTCAGAGGGTAGGTAGCGCTTGGATGCGGCCACAGAAACCAAAAAGCACCAGAAGCTTATAGACTTCATCTCGAGTTGTAATCTCGAATGGAGGGGAGAGAAAAGAACGAAAAGTCCTAGTTGGTTGCTATGCAGCACAGGTTCTCGACGGCTGAAAAGCTAAGATTATATAGATTTCTTCCTACATCAACATAAAGCTCCAATCAGCGGTGTTCACACGGCACGTTGATGATCATGTACGAAGGCCCAATATTGATGTCGAGCTCAACCTTAGAAAAGGTATGTTCGTCGGCTTCATTTGCTGGATGTAATAAAACTGTGGGCTGCGAGATACGTACTCGCCGGTGAAGATCATAGTAACTGCTGTCGATCGTGGATACGAAGTACACTATAGCACCTTGTTGTCAAGCCATATGTAGATATGTAAGCTTTGGATTCTGGATTCCAAGACTATGAAAACCCTATATACTGTCTCTAAGCCCAAAGCAATCTTAGAAAGGGTACGTTCGTCGGTTTCATTTGTCACAGGTATATAATTGTGGGCTACTGAGGATACGAACTCACCGGCGAGCAGCACAACAACTACTGTCGATCGCAGTTACGAAATACATTGCAGCATCCTATTGTCAAACAATATGTAAATGTGTAAGCTTTGAATTCTGGATTCCAAGGTTAGAAAAGTACTATACGGAGTACACCGTCTCGAACCGCGAAAGCAATCTTAGACAAGGGAGGTTTGTCGGTTTCATTTGTTGGATGTAAAACAATTGTGGGCTACTGGAGAAATGAGCTCACCGGTGAGCAGTATAACACATGCTGCTGATCATAGATACGAAGTATATTGTAGCACCTTGTTGTCGGATCTTATGTATACAACATATGTGTAATCTTTCGCTTCTAGATTCCAAGGTTAGTAAAGTCCTATGTGCCAAGGTTATCGCTATGGCTGTCGCTATACGCGGAAACCACCTTGGCACTTTCTTCACCGGAAAGTGGGTTTGGACAAACAACCTTAAAAGGAGGGACAGGACGGAACATGATACCTATGTAGGTACTTTCCCCTGGCACCTTTCCAACTTTGGAAAGTCGCGGATCTTCGAAGATTCCAAGCTTCTGCCACACGGTGATCCATTAGGATTATATAGGTATAGATCGACCCAAATTTGCTCATAAAAGGTTCGATGTGGATGCGCCAAGAAGTTACATGGTAAAGTCGAGTGTCGAATAGGTTTTGAATAAGTTTGGATTTGAATTTATCACCCACAAAGTGGATACCGATAGATACCTTTAATTAAGATCACCGTAAGCCATGATGATACCATCCGAATTTCTGTTATCTGATCCGAGAAACCCTTTGGTGGGCTGATGTACAACAGTACACTTTAGGTAAATTAGAGTGTGTTTGATTTTCCTCGCGAACTACATCGCTATGTCACTATCCACCCATTTGATCGACAATGACTCAACAAGAGTCGACACGGGTCAGAAAGCTCCAGTCAAGAGGAACACTTTGGCTCGATAGTGGAGCGTTTCATCGAATGAAACACTCCTTTGGCCCTAAAAGTGGGCATGTTTGAAAGATAGGCCAATTTGAGTGTATATAACTTGCCTTCTCTCTCCGTTCTCCTTCGGACCCCTGTCTTCCAGTACGAACACAAGTCCACTCAATCATAACTATTGCGAGAATTTCTCCTGTGAGACGAGATCTTGCATATAGTTCGGGCATTCCAATCTCCTGTCAGTATTTCGTTGGGTTTCACTCTTATACTAAGAGTTTACTGACATTAGAGATTCCATAGATTCCAAAATGCTTAGCCCTAAGTTGGCTCTCCTGCTGGTGCTGCTGCACGCAGTGTCTGGTTCCGCCTATCGCTGGTTCAACTGGCAGTTCGAGGTCACCTGCCAGTCTGACGCCTACATTGCTCCTGAGAATGAGCATGCCGCTGCCAAGTTCCTCAAGGAGCAGTACCCCACGGGTTCTCATATCAAAGTGGTTGGAAACGGTCATGGATTCGGTAACCTCACTACCTGTGTTGACAATACTCTCACTGAGAAGCCCACCTATATCGTTTCCCTCGCCAATCTCAAGAAGCTCCATATCGACAAGAAGAATCTGGCCGTCACTTTTGGTGCCGGCTGGGATGTCGATGACCTTGTCCAAGAGCTGAAGGCCAACAACTTGTCCTTTAGCAATCTCGGTGTTGAGCGTGTTCAGAACTTTGTCGGTGCTGCCTCCACCGGCACTCACGGTTCTGGATCCAGCCTCGGTAATATCGCAACCCAGATCATTGCACTGCGCGTGTTGGACTCGCGGGGAAACCTCCGTGTCATCAATGAGAAGCACAATGCAGAGGAACTGAAGGCTTTCCGCATCAGTCTCGGTGCCCTCGGTTTGATCACTGAAATGACCATCAAGGTCCAGCCTACCCAACTCCTGAAGAAAACCACCAAGGTCTTGAATGCCACTTCCGACTATTCCATAATGTACAAGGAGCTTGCTCAACTGTACAAGGAGCATGACCGCATGACTGTCTGGGGTCCTCACTTCGATTGGGATGCAGACTCCCAAAGCTGGGCCCTCGAGCCTACTTACTTCCTCTCTTACTGGGAGCCGACCAACTATACCGGTGTTCGCAACTGCACTCTCAACTACTGCGCCAATGGTTGCGGTGACTGCAAGAAGGAGTACATCTGCTATGATGAAGTCACCGACGCCGCGTCCTGCTCTCCCCAAGGTGTTTGTGACCGAGGCTTCTACGCCGAGATTGAGCACTTCCTTCCTATCGAGGATTACGCGGAAGCCGCCACCAACTACACCCTCTTCCAACAGGCCCAGACGCCTCGCATGAAGGCTCCCTACAACAAGCAGATGGTCATCCAACACCGTACCCTCAAGGGTGACGATACATATCTGTCTCCAGTTAACAACTACAACCTTGGACCCGAGTCTAGCGGTGTTTTTGCCATCATTGAGATTGACTGGATCCAAGAATACAACAACTTTACCACTCTTTGGCAAAACCAGGAGTTGGCCTATGAGTTCCTCCCTCACTTTGGTGAACATTACAATGTTCGCTCCCATTGGAACAAGATGAGTGCTCCCAATGCTACCTACACATTGGAGAAATTCCCGAAGCTGCCCGAGTTCTTGGAGATCCAGAAGCGCCAGGATCCCAAGTGCCAGTTTGTGAATGATTTCCTGGTTCAGCAGCTTGGTATTACCCGCTGCGAGAACTTTATCTCTCTCTAGAATGTGATACAGTTGGTTTGAAGCACTGGTTTATTTGCTTTGTTTTCGGAGGTGAAGTGATGTACAATATTCACAGGGTTGGCAAATGCCTTTCCCACAGCAACTTATGTCCAAAAGGTTTCTTGAATAGAATTTATTATTGAATCAGCTTTGGTTTTAGCTCCATGCCGCCCCTTGATTGGTTTATCCGCTAGTTTTTAATACACCTTCATAAACAATTCGTCCATCACCATCAGTTGTCTCCTCCATGATACTGATCAATTCATTGGATATATGTTTTCCATTTCAAAGCAAACAAATGGTCAGCCGCTTATGCAGCCTTGTCATGTCTTTTTATTAGTCTTTTTAGATGCTCTTTTAGGTGTCCTTTTTAGTATACGAACGCGGTAAAAAAGAGTATATTTTGTGTAAGAGACTTTTCTATGCATAACCTTTGACAGTAAGTAGAACAATTCGGTAGAGCTAAGCACTTGATAAGTCAACACAAATCATGATTCCTCCGGTATTGAAGAATCGTCATCCCAATTCTCAGTGTAATCAGTACTGCATAACTTGCCATTTCCATCATCAACCTGTTCACATGCTGACTTGATTAGATCAAAGGGACTCTCATAGTTATCCAAACGTAATCCCCAGATAGAAGCCAGCTCAATCCGATCGTAAAAATTTGTATTTGCCTGGAAATCAAAGGCCGCGTAAATTTCATTCTCTTCCTCTTGGGTGAGCTCAAAGCCCCGAGCTGTTCGGCAACATCCACACGTAAGAGCACAATGCCCAGCTGCTAGTTGGCGTGTTGATAGCTGGCGCTTCGCACAGCATCCACACCCCCGAGAACAACATCCTTGCTTCCTCGCACAGTCTTCAACTAGGACCTCATGCATATACCATGCAGGATGTGACCGCCACAAGTCGAATGCCCGCGACACAATCCCTTCTCCGAATTCACTTCGATGGTTCCACCATTCTTGAGTGAGTTGCCAGATTGTCTTATTCACATAGTTAAGCCAGGTTTTTCTTTGTTCGGATCCATCATCATGCTCACGCGCAAATAACTCTTCTTGGATGTAATGTCGGAGGTCTTGTTCCGTGTCTAAGAATTGCTTTATTGGAATTGGGTGGGCATATTTGGTGCCCATGTAGATCCGATATCGGAATCTCTGTAGAGTGTTCAGGTCTCCACTTTGTTCCAATCTTGTCTCCGCGGTTGTTTTCTCCCTGTGATGGATTCTAACTCTTGATTCGGGATACGGAGACCAAGGGTCAGGTGGCCAAAGCCAGGTGAAAAACGATGAAAAGAACCAATCCATATTTATTGCAGTCGACTTAATGAAAAGAAATTCATATGTAAATAAATGATAAATATATATGGGCAAATTCCGGGTATTGTTGCTGCGGCTCCTAGGTGAACGACTAATGTTGATGTCAACGTATGTCGAAACAGTTCCCTTTCGCTTATAGCATTCCATCAAGTTTCAAGACTTTGTGACTAGAACCTAATTTTACCCAAGAATAGTTCGGTGGAAGGTTTTATACAAAGTTCAAATTTGGGACTACCCGACCCTCAACATCTAGGTGATATTAACATGTTTCTTTTTTCTCGCGCATTCCTCTACCCCTTATGAGAAATGAAATAACGAACCAATCAAATTCCTCACGACGTGATTCACAGAGTAATAATTGCTCCGGAGTATCCTATATTTTGGCTGCGCATTCAAATTATGGATAGAGCAATATGGATGTCGCGGATGTTGCTATGGACGTACCTGTGTGTTACCCTTTTATATCGCTAAATCAGCTAACTCTGACCCAACTTATGCTTTCTTAGCGATGCTAGGCCATAGACTACTAGTTAGTTCCATCTGTTCGTGGTGGCTAATTCAAATAGACATGTCGGGATGAGGTACAGATGAGATCATCGTGGCTTGACAGAGTACAATATATATAGCGGTATGCCATGGTCCCGATATCCAGGATACTCAATTTGAATTGTCATCTGCCAGTTCCATTTTTGCCAGAAACGCCGAAGATCATGCGTGATAACGAAGTTACAGACAAACACGGCAATGTTATTGATCGTGGCGATTATGTTTCTACCAAAATCCGCAGCGGAACGCATGAAGGACGCGTTAGTAAACGCCAACTAATGGACAACCCTTTATCGAAGTCATCTTCTCACAACATGTTTAGGTGGAAGAGGTAATCACAGATCTGCAACGAGCGGACGAGGTTGGTGTGAAGAATCCGCCAAAAGTGAGTATAATAATATGATCAGGGAATTTGCCTTGATGTATCATGCTAATGAAATGTTTTCTTTAAACAGATACACTTCAAGAATAAGGATGGTAAGATGGTGGCACACAACCCAAGCACCTTAGAAGTTGATGAGACCGAATAACAGTTAAATCAAAGCTGTCAGTATTTTTTGGTTAGGGTGTTGTGAGGTGCCTTGTATTTCATATCGAGCGGGACTGGCTTATTGTACAGCGAGAGTTGTCTTGGATGGAAAGAATATATGATAACCGTTTAGTTGATGGTTGTAATGCAGTTCCACTCTATTTTACGCAGTATTAGACATAAATATGTCAATTGAATTTGTCTTCCAATCCGAACTAGTGAGTTGATCGATTCAGTAAAGAAAATCCTTGGAAATAGCACAAGCACCTTGCTCAATTATCCTTTCTATCGAAAAGAAGCTTCTTGCATCTTCTACCGATGGTCTTGCCATTAGAAAATGTCAAATTCCGGTTCCGATTATTGATAGAGATGCCACGAGGAGAACGGGTCAGGTTTTAGGATACAATCAATGCTATCAAGCCAAAAAAAAACATCCAGCTATTCAATTTTATAGTGTCTCGACGCTATTCAAATGAAGTAAAGCAGCCCGACGCATGCTAACTCGAACATGACTTGGATATATATATTCCGAAAAGGGCTTTTTCAGACAATCGCTCGGAGGCAAGTGTTACAATTTGATGTCATCTGCACTTCATCCTTCGCCTTCGTGGAGAAGTTGCAGCAACGACTAGAACATTTCTTGTCTCAACCGTGCTGATTTGCTACAATATGGGATACACCACATAGTTACATCATAGGCCTTGAAATATAAAAACCAACCCATTAAGATATAGTCCAATTCTTTGCTAATTCTCAGCCTAGGAAATCCATATTCATAATGAGTCACTCCTCAAAAGCTGATAACGCCGCGAATGCCAAACAGGGTGCTTTTAATCCTTCAGCCCCTCGCGGAGAGCCAATGACCACTAAGGGTGTATGTTTGACTTGCACACTCGCAGCCTATACTTTCCGCTAACTTAGTCTACAGCATCAACTCGGTCGCAAAATCAATGAAGCTGACTATCATCCTGAATACCACGCGCAGCCATTCCCATCTGGGACAGCCCCCGCAAGCAACTCCCATACCCCCAACCCCATTTCCTCAATCCCCGGCCAAGCTCACAACCCCAATGTGAGCGACGGAGAAGAAGATGAAGTCGCCACTTATACATCAGCGGCAAATACATTACTAGGAGCCACCTCGAGTGATGTAAACCGTGGCCTAGGGGCACCGACGCAGGGCCAGAGCATCGCCGAGATCAGACATAACGGCGCACATGCCCGCAAGAAGCAAACCTCCGGCCTGGAAGGTATTGGCTCCTCTATGCAAGAACATGGTAGTGGAGGTGGGGGCCAGTTTGCGGACCAGCGTCGCCTCGAGCGAGAATAGGCCAATGTGAATGGCAGACACGGCGACAAGGTTGATAGTTCCAGTGATAAAGAGCTACAGTCTGGATGACCTTGAAAGCCTTTGTCAGAAATAGAAATAATAGTCAGGCATTCAGCGTAACAGGGGGCAACAGAGCAGGTACTAAAATAGCTTGTTCGTCATGCGAAAGTTGCTCTTTCCTGATGTTTCAACGGAAGACGCAAAAGTTCTTAGATGGTTGCTCTCTCAATAAATATCAGCTCAAACGAACTGATCCTTCGCGTGTTATCCCTTCCTGTCTCTAGTAATCTACGCTTATGACAGCGGTAGCTCAAATGGGAAAGCCCGGGAAGATCGGGTATAGTTGTGTGGATTTAACTAGACAATTCTTACGCAAATCAAAGTAAAGGTGTGTTAATTTTATTGATGTTCGACTTAGCTGTTTGCTTGCTGCCATGGAGGATTGACCTTCCTTTACCTCCTCTCTCTCAAGATCTCGTTATCGACACCCCTACTGGCACCATCCTCCAGGTCTCCTCCTTCACATATCCACCCCAAAACCATGGCATGGCAGTGGTTCAGAGTCTCCAGATTACTATGATGATAACGAGAACCCGGGGTGAAGGGCCCGCGGGGGCACTCCGGGGGACAATGAGAAGAAGGCCTTGGCCCACTTTCTTGCAGTCAGCCTTGTCATTTGCAATGCTTCAACCGGCTACTTTCCAAGGTTCAAGATCATGTAAGCGCACAACTAACCTTGGATACAGCTTCTGAGTCATTTTCAAGAGTGAACAGAGTATTAACTTGAGTCTCCTGAGATGCTTTATCAGGCACAAAGAATGATATTTGTGTGAAATCGCGGGATCTGGCGCAATGATCTTCCCCAAATTGATTCCTAGAAGAAGATAAATGAGTACTGCGCCAGCGACCTCAATCTTTCGCCTATAAACCCGTGAATGCTTTTACCCGCAAATGGCCATCGCCGATTCTGACGAACGTAATGATGCCCGCCTTGACATATACACACGAGGAATGGAACAAGTAATTAGATTCCTATCCATGAAGGCGAAGGAAACCGAGTTGGAGGGGTTCAATTTACAAAAGGCGTGGGTGTGTCGTGATCTCGCAACCTATGGGAAACAGGATACACAGGATACACAGGATTCCCGAAAAATTTCCAAGGAACCATTCCACAGTGACCAGAGCAATTGAATGGACCGATCAGAGGGTCAAAAAGAGGATGATGGACAGTACAACAAAGAATTACGGGGGAGACTTCGAGATCTGCACTACGAAAAGCTTTCGAAAGCAGTGCTTTCATCAATCACCGAGGTATAGCCTTGCTTCAAAATGAGCCTGATGGAGAAAGCGGGACCTGGTAGTCGAAGCAGTCACAAATCACATCCAGGAGGTTGAAATAATACCCAAGAACTGCTTTGGTGGTGGACAGCCACTATCAGTCTTGGGCTGCCCGTCATCTTTCGACAAATTGGAACAGAAAGGCATGTATCCTTCGGATAAAGAGAGCTACGGACATCATCAAAAAGCTCTTAAACGTCAGTCGGATGTTTCAAGCTTACACTTGACCATGTCATGGCTCTACCAAAGGTCGATCACTCGCCATCTCTTCCAGGTGTTTCTATAATCATCTTCATGGGAATATCAAAAGCAATTGATCAGAGGCTTCAGGTATCTGATTAAGAGTTGCCTGACTCCACAGAATTGGAGCAGAGAATGGTGGGAGTTTGGGAGACTACCCGGCCCATGGACCATTAGACAGTGCGAGATATCCCAGGGCGTCTTCCACCCTCTAAACCACGTTATGCCATACTACTGAAAAAACGAAGCATGCAAACGTGGTGACAATCGAAGCCGGTGTGGAAACCCGGTCCTCCGCCGAGAAGTTCGACGCAATGCAGAACCGACCATCCCGAAGCAGACCTGTTCCTCAATAATACCAGTCTCAATGTTAATCATGAAGCCTTTTTGAGTGGTAAATGTGTTGCCCTGTTCCTTTGATGGCAAGGTTATTACTGATGGAAGACTACCTCACCCATGAACCAAAGAGAAGATGGGCCAGGCATTCGAACAGAATCTCTGGTGACAAGATATGGTTGGAAAGTGACCGTTCGTCAGCCAATATGGTCATCAGCCCACTTGAATCTCGAGCTCGTGGTTACCAACCGTTCCGTAATCAACGACTCCACGAGAGCAGATTCCATCGTTTCGACAGCGAAACATGCCTGGCCCAACAACATGACTGCCCTAGACTTTGTACAGCATAGTTATTAGCCAACGAGGCATATTCGAGACTACAATTGTTCCGGGCTTAACATACTATTCCCATCGCCAAAGCGCCAACGCTTAGACATCGGAGCCATCGATCTGATATGTCTTCTACCCCATATGGGTTTCCTGGTTATTTACGACATCCAAACACAATTTTCTTAGTAAATGACAATCCATACCACCCATAGTTGCTGTAAAAATAAAATGCTGCAAAGGAAATTTTCACCTAATCATTTAATATGATCCATTCGAGCGCCTGAGCTGTGAAGACTTGATTTTGGTATCATTTTTGACATTGTGTCATAAGGACTAACTAGCATTTGCAGTTCTGCGTGACAAGCAAAAGGCGAACACAGCGTGGGAATAAACAAGAGGCTTTGGTATACATGACCAGATAAAACAAACGCCGTGTGCTGAACATAAAACAAAAGTCCACTCGAAAAAGAAAAAAAGCACCAGCAAAAAGAGATCTGTACAAAATGTGACTTGATGGCATTGCATTCATTCTATCCTGGCAGATTGGCAGAGTTGCCAATTAAGAGTTTCGAGGAGATGAATTAACAAAGATGGCTCGTATCAAATCGCAAGAAGAAGAAAAAGCATGTGAGGATCCATATCCTCAAATATGTTCGTAAAAATCAACTGTCCAAATCCCAAATTCCCCGTGGGGAAATCAAAATGTCCCAAGTGTCGTGTGTTCCGTTCCCATCCATTCCGTGAATTGAGCCAGTGTCGTGTGCTCATAGGTATTATTCATTTCCCATTTGTGTCGTCCCATTATAAGGGTAAGGTATGTCGTAGGCGAAGAAGAGGTAGGTGTAAGCAAGTCGCGAAAAGAAAAACAAAAGCGGAGAGAGCAAGTATTCCTTGCTTCGGCGTTGAGGATGAATGAATTAGATCATTCCTCGTCGGTCAGTTTGCGGATCAAACTAATACTCAAGATCATGACCAGCAAGCCAACAGTTACTATGACTAGTAGGACAAAGCCAAACCAGCCAAGTACCATTGCAGATGAGCCGACGCCGCTCTTCACACTTCCATTCCCCATGTCTTGCGCTATCGTACTGGCAGCGACAGACGCTGTGTGCTGCCATAGTACAGACACCAGAACAAACACCGAGGAGACAAAAATAAGGGCTAGCGCAGCCTGGGAGACGGGCCGCGAGGGGAAAGGCTTGACTTCACGCTCGGACCCAGAGTCGTCGATCTCCTCGTGCCAGCCAGGGAATGTCGCCAGTAGGATGAAACAGAAGAATGCGAGAATGACAGCGACAATCCTGCATGAAAATTAGTATTATCCGACAGTAAGAAAGGGCAAGTTACTCACAGGAGATAGGGGAACACAACAGCATCTTTGAACGTCGACGCAACCCAGATCAGGTTCAGTGGATCTTGATCCACAGTAACAATTTCAGCCAGCGCTGTCGCATTGGCATTGCAAATAAAGGAACCTTTGTCGGGCTGAACACAGATACCAAAGTATCCCACTCGGACTTCCAATTCTGCGCCACCGACGATGTTGGAAAGGGCGGTCACAACACCTGGGTCGACTTGTGCGAGATCCCTAATTGGGTTATACTTTTCATAGTATAGGGAGATAAGGAAGATGTTAGGGATTTGTGGGGACGATGAAGAGCAGCCGGCCAACAGAAGTGCTGCGATTCGTTAGCTACATTCCGGCGGAGGACATAAAGCAAGATAGGCACTTACATAGCAAGATAATAGCAACTGCGATGATAATCATCAACACATGGTGGTACCCGATCATTGGAATGAACCCTGCGTGGAGAATTAATGAGAGTCCCATTGTATACTGCATCTTAGTATTTTGTCACTTACGGGCCCATTTTTGAGCAAAAGGAGCAGCCATTGTGTTCAACTAGGACCACCTCGAGGTCGGACTCCTTCACTTTTCTTATTGACTCGCTTCTCGGGTCTCCGAGAAGGAGTTGCCTGAACTGAATGCGATCACAGAACTCAATTGTACACCCCGTGGCGCACTTCCTGTTGATTCGCGTGATTTCGATGGCAAGTGAATCGAGATCGAGATCGTTGGAATGGAATGTAGATTAAGAATGTGGAGAGTCGAGTAAAGATCGGATCGTTCAAGATGTATTCAGTGCTGAGAATACTTTGAGAATTATCCAAAATATTTGATAATAATGTGTAATCCGGATGGCACCTAAAGTGGATTATCCAGATGGGTCAGAGATATGATATGACTTGACGCCTGTGTGTAGTACAGGTGGGAAGTATATGGAAGAGAGGGAATGTGTAGAAAGAATGGAAGGGAGGGAAAGAAGGGATCGTAGCAGGCACAAAACTCAACGTCAGACTAATTGACAGATTCTCTGAATCTCTCTGGAGGCTGGGGATGAGGCAAGAGTATAGGAAATCTGGGAGGCTGGGCCAACCGCTCTTGTTTACTCTCCCGCTTCCCCGGTAACCAGATCAGACCGCCTTCTATGTGGGTCATTCTGCCCACTCACACGGGAAAGTCTGGGCGGTGTTAGTCCCGATATGTACTAGTGCAGATCTCGATAACCTTTGCCCCACTTCCACAAGCCACGCGATTCACCCAGCCTCTTAGATATTGGGCCGTGTATGCTACTTTGATGTACAATCTACGGATTGGGCACGTTTTGATGTTTCAAGATGCTATGGTTTGCAAACCCTAACCAACGCTATGTCAAACAATAATCCCAATTAAAAAAAGTATTAACACCATAGGTTACGCGCCAAAGTGGAACCAACCAAACCAGTGGTCCAATGCTACCCCGGATACCAAGACCTGATGTTCCTGTCCTAATGCTCCGTAATCAAATAGAGATGCAGCCTAATTTGCGGCGAAAGAAAAGCGTTTGAGATCAAGAGTAGTCGAGTTCCCTGTGCTGGGTTCATCCTCGTCCTCTTCATCCTCACTGTCTGGGACAATGAGATCTTCACTGCCCTGGGTTCCCGCAAAAGAGAACCCCTTACGTATGACAGGAGAAGGAGCTTCGGCCCGAGGTTCAGAAGTTTCCGCATCCCGTAATTTAGTAGGAATGTTGATGCTGTTAGATCGACTGAGAGCGGACTGTCCCATCCGCTGGAGCGGTGTCAGGCGTCGTTGAAAGACGTTGCTCCGCGCAATCGCGGCTGGGCTTCTCGGGGTCGAGGGCGTTGAAGGTCTATGGGAAGTTGGAATAGCAGGAGTCTTAGTCGTGATAGGGCTAGCTGCGGTTGCGTCGGGCTTGTGCCCCGCTTGAAAAGTAAACTTGGAAAGTACACTTGAGTTTTGTCGGTCAACGTGATAGTCAAGAGCCTGACTGAAACTTGGAGAGCTCGGGTTCGGCGTGGTATCCCTGGGGCTCGTCTGTAATGATTTTTCGAGGTGTTCGGGCATCAGGGTTTTGTTGGGAGTGAGACTAGAAGCTGTTTCAGCTTCACTGGGCTTGCCAGATATCTCAAGGTTGTTGTCGGGACTAGCCTCAGTAGGCCCAGGGGTAGTACTGGGATCGGGAATGCTGGACATTATGTCTTCTGCCATTTCATCAGAGAAGACACCTATCACCGATTTTCGGGATCGTTTTGACCGGGAGAGCTTTTGGCCGCTAGGGCTAGCTTGTTCGGAAGTAGGAGCAAAGAAGCGACTGCGAGCAGGGGAGCAAGCAGGTAGAGAATCCCCTTCAACCTCAGAGCAAAGTCTCTGCCTCTTTGTGGACTGCAAGGCCGACGATCTTGCACTTTGGGCCAGAAAAGATGAGCGCTCTACACTCCGGACCATGGGGCTGAGGCCTTGGTCAGAAAACGCTCTCAGAGGCGTAGATCTGACCGAGTTGGAGCGGAATGGTGCTGCATTGGCCTGCCAGCTGTTGTTTGAATTACGCTCCAAGAGTCGTTGCTGACTCGGAGACGGAGTAAGGCTGTTAGGGTCCAGCTCGGCCAGCGGCGTCCTCTTTGGGGTGAAGAACGAGTTGATGGACTTTCTAGGCTTCAACTCGGATGAACTACCTAGTGTCTGGCGGCGATTGATGCCAAGAGTCCATCTATTTGCGTATAGGGGCTTCAAGGTAATTGGTTCCTTGGTGGTTGGATCTAGATCGCCACGAGAAACTCCGACGGCAATTTCCGGCTCCATATCGGCACCGATAAACGGCAGCGTAGCCAAATTGACATCCTTGTCAGGTGGTGTCAAAGTCACTAACCTTTCAGCCTTGCGACAGAAGACCCGTTGGTAAAGGAAGGTCAACTCGGCCTGTTTGAAGTTGGCAAGGTAGTCCGCTGGGACTCGGAAATTGCCCTCAAATTGGAGCATACGCAGGGCTTTTTCAACACTTCGATGCTTGCGAATAATCCGGTAGGCAGTCTTCAGTCCCAACTTAGGAATATTTGCCAAGTAATCACAACCGCTCAAAATGCACATGTTTCTGAAGTCCGGATCACTGAAGCCGACCAAGCTGACCTCACGGCAAGCAGTAAAGTCGGCGCGGTTTATCTCAATGCATTCCCCGTGTTGGTCCAATTTGGAAATCAACCGCTTTGCTCCAAAGACAAGCAAATCCGAATCCTCAGATATGATTCCATCAATGTCACCCTGTTGCTCAAGATACACCAACTGGGCATCTGCCTCGTACGGGGCCACCACATACTGCACATTCATTTGTTTCAGTTCCTCGATTAACTGCCGGGCCATGTATGGTGTCACATCGACGGCCTTTTGGAACTCCTGGTAAGCTTCTGGCATTCTCCCCTTCCGTTGTAACTCCATTCCAAGGGTCTTGCTCTCCTGACGCCGTTTGTAACGATCCTGTTCGGTGCCCGCCTTGCTGGGCAGATTATCGCCATCGAAGACGAGGTAGGGTTTCACTCCAAAGAAGAGAAGCATGCGGACTCGGTTGAGGACGAAATCAATGTGTCTGCCATGATATAGCGTTGTAAGTCAAGAGAGCATGGGAGAAGATATCAAACAAACATACTTCCTAGTAGGATTTTCCAGGACCAGATCCACGGAACAAGCAACAGTTCCACGGTGCAGCCATCCATATGCATCGACTCCGAGTGTTTGTCCACTGAAATTCTTGATGTGACATGGTTTCTGAATGGACTTGAGAAGCCCGTGCAGTCCTGTTTGTTGGCGTTAAAATCACATTTCATCTTCCCCCTAGACTGTCCCAAGACAACATACCTTTAATGCCCATGGTGGACACCGTTCGAGGGACAGGCGGGTCCTCGTATTCAAGCAATGAATGATAACATAAGTTGAGATGTTCCAGAGTAGGAGACTAATGAATATGGAATACAATGCGAGGTCCAAATCAAATCTCACTTAAAGAATTGAGGGAGTAAATAACTCCTGGAATGTCCCTATCTCGACGCGCAGACGCGCTTTCCTCGAGTGGGGAAGGCGGTGATTTCGGAGTCACCGCCTAATTATGCCGGTGCATCCACGAAAATTATCATCGAAATCTACGGCGGAGTGTTTGGAGTAATTCTTGTCATCAGCCCGCAACCATGCCTGTTACTTTAGAAAAAGTGCACAAGCAGATTTCCAAGAAGCGCAACTCCACTAATGTGCTTCATGAGAACAGTCGCGATGCCCACCGACTCCGCAAAGCTGGTGCTCGCGACGATCGATTGTCCCGCCATAACGCCACTGTGAACCGTGCAAGACAGCCATACTGTGAGACAGCCGCCCATTCTAATTGAAGGTCGCCCAACTAACTCAGACAGTGGACCGAATCGATTACATCCACGAGGCTATCCAAGAGCTTACTGAGGCCCTCTCGAACGAAGAGATTTCCGAGTTCGTCGCCAAGTATGTAACACCAATGATCCACCACCAAACCCAAGACTAACCCAAACAAGGTACATTGGCCGTGATACCGAGGAGATCAAACAGCTTGAGTCAGAACGCCGGAAAGGACGTCCTCCTAGCAAGCGCGAAGAGGCCTTGAAACAGCGGGTGCAAACCGAGGATCGGGAATTCTCGACCGGATTGTGGATGCCCGATCTAGGCGATCAATATGCGATGACCGCCATGAAGAACTGGAATGGACACTGGTCGGGTCTCAGCGCTATCAAGTTCATGCGGTTCACCAAAGCTGGAGAGAAACTCACTTCTACTTTCCCACCGAAGAGCATGTCATGATCACGATTACTTTTTTTTATATATTTTTTTGTCTGGTGTCCAAAAAGACTGGGTTGGCGCATTATGGGTACATTGATTCTTTTTCTAGACTCTGTACAGCCGAATATTCTCGAATATACCATTTCAATTCAATGCGGTTGTATTGTCCATCTATATATGTACATGTAGTTTCTCACACGCCACGCCTTCCATTTAGTCATTTATGCGCATATAGTAGAGCGAGTCATGACATGAATTTCAATCAGCCCAAATAATTCACCGTAATGTTCAATGTAAGCCAATTAGAATTATACATGCCTTTTGCTTAATATAGAATGGAATTGCGTGGTCGCGCAAAGTCGGCCAAAACAGAAGGGCCGGTCTTGGCACTCGTAATAACTTAGCTCATCTACTTTTTCCGCAAGCTCTCATCTTCATCAACTTGAGACCATCCACATTCACAATGCTTTCTCTTCGCACTATCTCCCGCTCTATCCCGCGCACTTTCTCGCGCTCCATTGCCACTTCGGCTCTGCGCCCAGCATTCCCCAAGCCCGCTTTCCAGCAATCCTGGAAGCAGGCCACTAAGCCCGCCTACGCTGCTTTCTCAACCTCTAGCATTTTCAAGGCTCCTTCATCCGAAGGTAAGATGCATTGAATGATATTTGAAAGAATCCGCCGAAAGCCGATGCTGTCCGGTGGCGGACGCCGTATGTGGCCTTGCGCTAATTTTGGATTTTATTTTTTACAGTCGACATCGAGCTTCTCGCCAAGCTCGAGGATGAGCTCAAGCACGAGAAGTCTTCCGAAATTCCTGAATTTGAGGAACAGCTCGAATCCATCGAGGAGACCATTAAGCACGGCGAGTGGCAGGTGAAGGATGTTGCGGGTGACCAGGAGGTTATCCTCACTAAGAAGTTTGGCACCGAGAAGTACGATGCCTTTTTTTTTTTGTTTCAATGTCGACGATGAATGCTAATATATATTCTTGTTCAGCATCCGTGTCACCTTTACCGTCGCCGATATCCAGAACATCAGCGAACAGGAGGACTTCGACGACGCCTCCCTAGCCGACGAGATGGACTTCCAGAACCAATCCCGCGGTCAGGATGCCGAGGCCTCCGTTGAGGATATCGAGCAGCCAGAGCCCAGCTTCCCTGCCCGTGTTACCATCACCGTTGAGAAGCCCAACAACGGTGCCCTTCTGATCCAGACCGTTGTCCAGGACGGTGTCTTCCAGATCGAGGAGGTCTCCCACTTCGCCAACGCTGAGCTCGCTCAGTCCCTGACTGCTGAGAAGGACTGGGCCCGCCAGAGCCTTTATGCCGGTCCTCCTTTCGAGAACCTCGATGAGGACCTTCAGGGTCTCTGGGACCGCTACCTCGAGGACCGTGGCCTTAACGCCGAGTTCGCTAATATGGTTCCTGACTACATCTCCGTCAAGGAGCAGAAGGAGTACTTGCGCTGGTTGGAGAGTATGTTTTCCTTCCTACATAATGTTTCTGTGACTCGTGCTAACACTGCATTTCTCCTTTAGGCGTCAAGAACTTCATTGGTGCTTAAATTAACTAACCCCATTTAACCTGCGGCCCATTTCCTCTTAATCCTGTCGGGGGTGCCTTTTGATAATGAGAAGTTTGCCTGATATGGAGATACCAACTTCGTGCCTCCATATCATGGTTCGCTTTAGTACAACTACTTGTGCGACTCTACTTGTACCAATATTTCCAATCTACAATCACTTCACTTACTAAATAGCTACACTCCTACCTCTAGCTTACTTTGTACATATACGACCGAGGGATTATGGTTATTCAATCTATAGATTTGAATGAGAAGGTATGTAGTAAATGTAGAATCAAATAACTCGGTTCCATGCACACTAGACCCGAACTCCTCGAAAGTGCAATCCCTTGATGTAAGTCCAAAATAAAATCGGTGGAACTGATTAACAAAGCATAAAGTCATAACCCTATGAGGAAAGCTAGGTAAAGGGAACAAACATGAACATGGCGCCGCTAAAATTCCATAGGATCAGCCTTGACAGCAGGGCCACTGTCATCACGTTCACGCTTGCCAGCACGCTCTTCCTTAATGAGGCCTGCGATGAAGGAACGGAAGAAGTCGATATAAGGTTTCAGGCTAGTCTTTTCATAATCCTGCACCTTACGGCCACCCTTCATATCAGAGCCATTCATTGCACTGCCTTCAACGTCAGGGATATCTGCCTCCGCTGTGCCGACAGGGTGTTTGGCGTCATATTCATCAATCTCAGCTAGGAGACCCATTACCGTCGGGACAGTGAGAGGATCGAAGTTCTCGGCGTTGCGAGGATCGATGGGAACACAAATACGACCAGTGCCGGGGTGAATAACAAAGGGACTCTTGAGCAAGTGAATCATCTTCTTGCTGACCTCAGCATCCAGGCGTGGGTAGGTATACTCCAGGACAATATCTTGCTTGGCATCTCGGAGCGTTGCCGGGTTTAGCGTACTGCTCTTCCCAGTCTTTGCAAGTGAATCAATATCAGCCCATTTGCTGGTGCTGGCACGGTCTGGAGAAGACTCCCATTTCCTCCGTAGGGATTCGTTCAATGTCTTGTCGGGTAGTAAGGATAGAAGGCGTTCTGCCTGCTCGGCGGATTCAAATGTGTCTTGGTCAATGAGTGTGGTCCGGGCAAAGTCGTGCTTAAGTAACTCAAGACTGCGTACGATATGGGGGTGTAGGGGCCGTTTGATGTTGACTTTCTTCCCGCTTTGTGACCCTCCCCGAATTATCTCAAGATAACCAGCAATTGCTCGGCGTCGATCATCCGGTAGATTTCGTGCTCGGGGATCGCACACCCAGGCGTGAGCACCGCGACGACCCGAGTAAACCCAAAGGATGTGTTCAAACCCGAAGTCCTCCCGTAGTGCGGTGTCAATAACCTTGATTGACATCGTCACAAATGACCAGCACTTCGCACAAATATTCGCTTTGACACAGCATGTACGGATATCATCATAATCAGTCAAATCAATATCGAAAACCAATTCCTTAGAGACTGGCTTCATTTGGCCACCTCGTAGCGTTTTGCGATCTCGCGGGTTGGTGCTGTAGACAGGTCCGATTTCGAAACGAGAAGGGTTCATCTTGAGTATGTCTTTCCGGAATCTGGCCATGTGTAAGCTCAAAAGGGATTTGATAATAAAAGGTTGAAACAAGTCTTACAAGTCAGCAGTTGGATATGATTGGTATCGAAGATAGGCATCATTTTGCAGTGTCAGTGCAAATTCTCGGTTTCCGAAGTCTTTTGTCGGTACAATGCCATGATTCAACCATTGGAAAAGGTATCGGAAAGGGAAAAGTCGTTGATAGAAGGCGAGCATGATATCCGAGTCAACGCCCGAGGGTGTCGGTGCTGGGGGCCTGTAGAGAGCCTTCGGTCAGCCGTTAAATCCAAAGTTACTGTACGCGATCTGAGTACTCACTCTTCCTTTGCAGCCGGAGATTCCATCTTCACATCTCCAGAAGCCGGGAACTCCTCGTCATCGTCATCATCGTCATTGAACATATCCTCGAGTTTGACATTAGTTTCAGTCGAGGTCTCGACCGGGGGGGCATCCGGCATTTCATCGTCATTTTGCGCAGAGCCAGGTGACACGGAATGAGGCATTGTGGGCGAGTCTGGTGATGGGCAAAGCAAATGCTCTTCTCGAGGTTCTCCGTCTTAATTGAACCCAAACAGGAAGGCGCGACGCGCGACGCGTGATGCCCCGTGCACGCGTCTACCCTAAGCCCTATATCACGTGCTATTCAAACCGGGGATCCTATCTATGACCGAAAACGGGGCTTCGACACTATTCCTCATATTTACTAGGGAGAGTCAGTCGCAAACCCAACCGCAAGATGCTGAGGGACTACGTTTGTCCCCTTGCTGCTTGCGGCCAAAATTTCTTCTGTACCTCACTCCTGTACCTCTCGTCCACCAGGATCCCTGGATGACATATCCAGACTTCCCTCCAGCGGTGCTGTTCCAAGAAATTACGAGCGTGCAAGCTACAGAGATCACCTTCTTTGATTGGTTGAGGCCTTCTCCAAGATCAAATTCTGACGGGCCCCATTGTTACTTTGCAGCAAAAGCCCCATCCTCGCATAGTGGGGACTTGGCCTAACCCAATGCTAGATTGAGATGTCCCCGTCATTGACTACAGTTCCCCGTGCCACGATGGGTCACATCCGGATAAATCCCTCAAAAAAGATACTTGTGAGCCTGTTGGGATCGTCTTGCTCCGGAAATACTTCGGGTTCACACGTACATTCTTTCAGAGGAGACCTACCAATGGAACGCCCCGAGACTCAGTCGGATCCCATTCCCACATTCCAGAGAGCCGAGGAAACAGCCCTATTCGTGCTTGGGGATTATTGGCTGCTTCTGGCCGACTTATTTAGTGTTTTCACTGCAAGCCCATGCGTCTCTGTGGGGTTTCCACCCCAATCAAAGGAGCCTTGTCATATCAATTATGGTCCCGTTCAAATATGATCGCCCAGCCATCCCATTGTCGACTAGCTCCGGGTCCAGAGGTATTATGGCTACTCATACTGCACATGTCTTTTTTCTCGCCATATAATCCAACATACATATATTCTTGAACAATTAATACGCAATTTCCTCTATTGAAATGAAACAATGTTCAGTCACGCCTATAATTCACTCGCTAATTTTGCATACTGTGAGAGACAACGGAAATTGCCAAGCTCTTCTTATATTTCCGCATTGGGTTACTCTAGTGGATGAAGATGGAGACCTCCTCCACTACTTACCCCAATGATACTACAGTCTGTCACGTTTGCATCTGGTTTCGCCATATGAATGTATCATTGCACAAACTTCTGTCCAATGGCCTTGCACCTGTGCCTTTGCCATCTGTGGTTGAGCTATCCTAGTACCTGCATTCGGCCTCATATGGTGACATTGCGGATCAGGTCTATCTTTCTGTCCTGGACACGACCGTGGCACCCGTGTCCGTCATGACTTGGAACCAGTCATCTCAAACAGGGCATATAAGATCCTTCATCTCTGTCCATCATTCAGACTTTCTATCATCATCTCTTCATTCGTTATATTTCCAAGTTTGTTTGTTAAGACTTTGATTTCTCGAAATGGTCAACTCCGTTGCTCTTCTGGCTCTTGCCAGCCCGGCGTTTGCTGGCCTCATGCAGGCTCGTGGCGAGGAGTTCATCCGTCCTTCCGCTCAAGCCTCTGCTGCTGTTGCTGCCCCTGGCCAGGCTGAGGGCTGGGGTGAGAGCTGGTCCAAGCCGGCCGAGCACGTGTCGACTTCGACCCACGACTCTTGGAGCAAGACCACTGAGTCGTCCATTGAGTCGTGGACCACCCCGTGCACCACCTCGACCACCACCACCCCGGTGCATGAGCACACCACCACTACCCCGGTGCACAGCCATACCACCACCACCTCGAAGCATGAGCACACCACCACTCCCCCGGTGCACAGCCACACCACCACCTCGGTGCCGGAGTCCAGCTTCACTGTGGTGAACGGAACCACCGTCCCCTGCACCAGCCCTGTGCACCCTACCACCACCTCGGTGCCGGTTTCCAGCTTCACCGTGGTGAACGGAACCACCGTCCCCTGCACTACCCCTGTGCACCCTACCACCACCTCGGTGCCGGTTTCCAGCTTCACCGTGGTGAACGGAACCACCGTCCCCTGCACCACCCCCGTGCACCCTACCACCACCTCGGTGCCGGTTTCCAGCTTCACTGTGGTCAACGGAACCACCGTCCCCTGCACCACCCCTGTGCACCCTACCACCACCCCTGTGGCGAACGGAACCACCACCTATGTGCACCCTACCACCACCCCTGTGGAGAACGGAACCACCACCTATGTGCACCCTACCACCGAGCCCCACGTCCCTGTGAAGCCTGGTACCACCAAGACCCTCACTTACGTGACCACCACCTGCCCAGGTAAGCCCTAAAATCCCACTATGTAACACAACTTGAAAGCACATTCTAACAATCCTTCTAGTCACCTCGTCTACCATCACCTCTGGCTCTAAGACCTGGACTGTCCCCGTCACCGAAACAAGCACCATCACCATCTCTAAGACTACTGTCTGCACCCTGTGCGACGAGAAGCCTTTGACCTTCCACAACGCCACTCAGCCCGCCACCGGAGGCCCTACCGCAGGCCCTACCGCCCCCGTTCTGAAGCCCACTGGAGAGGTCGTGGTTCCTTCCAAGCCTGTTGAGACCAAGCCTGTTGAGACCAAGCCTGTTGAGACCAAGCCCGTTGAGACCAAGCCTGTTGAGACCAAGCCCGTTGAGACCAAGCCCGTTGAGACCAAGCCCGTTGAGACCAAGCCCGTTGAGACCAAGCCCGTTGAGACCAAGCCCGTTGAGACCAAGCCCGTTGAGACCAAGCCTGTTGAGACCTCGCCTGCTGAGACCAAGCCCGGTGTCCCCGCTCAGTCCACCCCCGCTGTCCCTGCTGAGTCCCAACCCGCCGTCTCCCACCCTGCCGTCCCTGCTGAGTCCCAGCCCGCCGTCTCCCACCCTGCTGTCCCTGCTGAGTCCCAGCCTGCCGTCTCCCACCCTGCTGTCCCTGCTCAGTCCCAGCCCGGTGTCCCCGCTCAGTCTGTCCCCGCTGTCCCTGCTCAGTCCCAGCCCGGTGTCCCTGCTCAGACCAACCCCGCTGTCCCTGCTCAGTCCCAGCCCGGTGTCCCCGCTCAGTCTGTCCCCGCTGTCCCTGCGCAGTCTCAGCCCGGTGTCCCCGCTCAGTCCAACCCCGCTGTCCCTGCTCAGTCCCAGCCCGGTGTTCCCGCTCAGTCCAACCCCGCTGTCCCTGCTCAGTCCCAGCCCGGTGTCCCCGCTCAGTCCCAGCCCGCTGTCCCTGCTCAGTCCCAGCCCGGTGTTCCCGCTCAGTCCAACCCCGCTGTCCCTGCTCAGTCCAACCCTGTTGTTCCTGCTCAGTCCCAGCCCGCTGTCTCCCAGCCCGCCGAGACCAAGCCCGCTGAGACCAAGCCTGCTGAGACCAAGCCCGCTGCCAACCCCTCCGGCACCTCTACCCCCTCCACCCCGGAGACCCCTGAGACGCCCTCTACCCCTGAGCAGCACGGCGCTACCCCCTCCTCTAATGAGTTCACCGGTGCTGCCTCCAACGTTAAGCCCGTTGCTGGTCTCCTTGCCGGTGTTGTTGGTCTCATGGCTCTCCTGTAAATCAGTTGAGTAGCCTTGACGACCGATCCATCTCTTGGTTGAGATCCGGATCCCTCTCGGTTCCTGACCTCCCTGGTTCTCGTGGTGGGGATCAGAGAGACATCATGGTACCTTGAGTAGTTTTGTGAATGTCCGGCCTAAGCGCTGCTTGGAATTTCTTCTTCTGCTTTTATTAACACGGTTGAAGGATTAAGGAAGAACGGTTGCTTGGTCGTTTCGAGAATTTTGTCTACTTTATCAAATCTGCTTTTTTAAATATACTAATAGTAATATACAGTTTTTATGCCTTGGATTCTTTTGTATGTTTTAAGATTTATCTGTCTTAGCAAGGTATTTACACTGAATCAAAAGTCAATTTATCTTGTTTTAGAAGAAATTCCTCGTGAAATCACATCCCTAGGTCTAGAGATCAAATGTAACATAAGATACTTAAGAAGATATAGTGGAGATCTCATCTGACGGTTACAGTTTGCCATTGGCTCCCGAGGTCAACTCAACCTTCGATTAAAGGGTGGATTACCCCTCAAGCCACTAAATCCCACCTCTCTGTTTTCCCCGACTTGGATTCCCCGGTCTATTTATACCTTTTCAAGATGAGCTGGCAAGGTATGCAGATTTGCACAAATAAGCATCCCAAAACTAATCTTACGGTAGGCTGGGTCGATCAAACCCTGGTGGGATCCAAAAAGATTGACAAAGCCGCTATATTCTCAGCAGCAGGCGATGCTCTACTTGCAACAACTCCAGGATTCAATGTAAGTTTTTCGATCACTGCTCTTTGCAATTGCCGCTAAAATGTGTTCCAATAGGTTCAACTAGGGGAGGTTCAGTATATGTTGAGAGGTTTCGAGGATTCAATCCCGCTATACTCTGGTGGGCTCTATGTCGCAGGGGAAAAGCTTATGGTTACCAAAGCAGATGATCAAAGCATATATGCCGAGAAGGTAAGATATTTCAACTGCCACAAGAGTGTATGGCTTGTTAATTGTGAGAATATTAGGGCAAAGAGGGTGTTTGTGTGGTGAAATCATCTCAATCAATAGTCATCGTACATTATCCTGAAACGGTGCAACCAAGAGAGGCTGCAAGTATTGTTGGACAGTTCGCAAATTATCTGACTAGTATAGGATACTAGCTCAAAAAACAAAGAAATGATCGTGATTTGGCGGAATATGCTCTGATAAGAATGATCTTGCTATATGTCATATTTTTCATATAGAGGTCGGGATGGTTACATCTGCCGACACCTAGAAGATGTCGACCGCCCTTGGCCGATGGTTAAATGCGTACAAGTCAAAAAAGTTCATAAGAAACGCAAGTCAACAGCCGTCGTAAATCATGAAAAACAAACCAAAGTAAAGATGCTAGCAGAAATGGAAACGTGAGAGAAATGAATATCTTGACTCTTCAATTGAGAAATATACAAAATTCAAGACCACTCAAGAGAACTGAAAATCTCCTTCATCCCAATCAAACCAGAAATATTCAAATCTTCCTTTGTAAGAACGGGTTCATCGGCTGTCCAGCTCTTTTCACGAGCTGTCTCCCAGAATTGCAACATAAGGCCAATCTCTCGTCCCCACTTGGGCCATAGATTATCATAGTGATCAAGTGGAACTTGGACATAGTCAGCAGGCTTTCCTGAAGTCTGGGACCACAGATTGATAATTTCGCGAGTTGTTCTGGTCTCAGATTGCGCTAGGACAATTCTGCCAATTGTGAGTTGAGGTTGGCTGAAGATGGCAAGTGCGTAGATGCCAGTGTTGACTTTGGGGTCTCCCACTGTTGTAATAGGCGTGTCATCCGAGACCGGGAAAAGTTGGACATATTTTCCGCATGTTTTCTGCATAGATTAGTACATAATTTCTATTTTGAAGGTGGAACCCCTACAAGAAGATTTGGGACAATCATAGGAAGAGTGATGTTTGTCCCGTAGTATCCGACCCAAAGGAAGGTAGTCTTGCTGAGTAGATCTTTGTCCTGCCTGATAAATGCATCGACCTTGTGTTTTCCTTCGAAGTGAGGTATAGGATGTTTGCCACCCGAAATCTTCACATGGTCAGGAACAGTACTCCATACGAAGTGCTTCAGAGAGGAAGTCTGAGAGGCTGCCTTAGCAAGGCTGATGCCTTGTCTAGCTTCAATCTCAATCAGTTCTTCGACACTCTGGGTCATGAACCCAGCCCAGTAATCAGTAACCGCATAAATGGCATATGAACCCTTTTTCCGGGTCAGCTAAATTTCTTGTACCCGTATTAAGAATCTTACCTCAAATGCCTTCACTAAGGTACTCTCATCGTTCCAATCCGCAGTCACCATCTCGACTCCTTTCGAGGCCAGTGCCTTGGATGCATCACTGTTGGCATTGCGAGTAACTCCGCGGATCTTCCAATCACCAGACTTCAGGGCAGCAGCAATGACTGACCCTCCCTGGATGCCCGTCGCTCCAATGACAGTGATAAGCTTAGATTCCGTGTTCATGCTGGAATTCGATGATTATATAGAGAAACAAAAGTTAATTGGTGGGGAAGTTATAGATTTATAGGTCACAGAACACCGTACATGTGTTCGTAATGAGATTCATCAATTGTCCCACACAATGAGCTGAATCTTGGAAAGGATCGGGTTTCTATATTCTCATTGGTCTTTTGGCTATCGATCGTGATCCAGATCTAACTCATTGTGATATGGTGGCAATTCTTTGTTTTGATTCGACGGGACTTGGCGCTATTGGAGATTACATGCCTTAGCGCGAGTATGTCTAGCCGATCAGTCCGAAGCTCTTCGAGTGGGTATATGTAAAAATTTAGAGACCTGTTAAGATGACGAGGATAGAATACAGAAATAGCTACGGAGTGCATCTATTTAGTAAGAAAATTTGCTTTTATATTGTAGAAAATAGTTTCATTTCCTTTATGGCTTAGTTTTGCCTTATTGGGATGGTTTGCCCTAGTCCGTCACGTAATCTCCCTCTTATCACCTGCCAGCATCCACCATCCTCCCTCTGCTCCATGCCTTTGCCCAATCGGACAACCCGCTTAGTCCACCCCTTACTCTCTCAGTCGCAAACTGTGGCTGAGTCCTTGTCGGTTCTATCCCAACTTTGAACTCTTGGGGTCTGAATCATATGCCCTGACTACGCAAGTCGCACCTTGGAGAGTGGTCTTTCAGGCTTTCCTAAATTGCGTATTCTCAAGCAATGCGGTATAGTTATCCTTTCAAAGAATGTTCACTTGTTCCACAAAAGACTGGATTGTTTGTCTGTCCCGTTCTCCTCAATGGTTTTGCCTCCCCCTACTGTGGTCCCGAACGGATGTTAGGGCCTAGTATATATATATATGCCGCTGCAAAGACAAACAGAGGTTCTGTTTGTCCTTATGATCTTTTGGCCTAACGTATTCGGTAAGCGAGTGGGCCATGTAAGCCAGTGGGCCACCCAACCCAAAACGCGTCCATGAATTAGCACTTAGTTAGTTCAACCACCCACTATGCCACCAATTCGCTCCCGATCCTCTAGCAATTCAGCAGAGCAAGAGGGTAGGATTTTATTAGCTATCCAGGCTTTTAAAAATAAAGAAATCTCTTCAATTCGCGAATTGGCGCGTCGTTTTAATATACCGCGTACAACTTTACAACGCCGCCTTACTGGTGATCTCTTTCGTCCTGAAACACGCGCCAACAACCATAAATTGACTGAAACTGAGGAGGAATCTCTTGAAAAATGGATACTCTCTATGGATCTACGTGGAGCAGCCCCCCGGCCCTCTATGGTACGAGAAATGGCAGATCTTCTGCTTTAAAAGCGTGGAACTACCCCAATTCTTTCGGTCGGCGAAAAATGGGTATATAACTTTGTGAAACGGCGTCCTCTCCTCTCCTCTCGATTCTCGAAACGATATAATTACGAGCGCGCGAAATGCGAAGACCCTAAAATCATTAGGGAGTGGTTTGATTTGGTTTAAAAGACAATCCTTCAATTTGGAATCGATCCCGACGATATTTATAACTTTGATGAGACTGGTTTTGCTATAGGATTGACTGTAACTGCGAAGGTTATTACGAGGAGTGAATACTACGGTCGGAGGCCGGTTTTACAACCTGGAAATCGTGAATGGGTAACAGTGGTTGAATGTACGAATGCTTCTGGCTGGGTCCTTCCTCCGTGTATGATTTTTAAAGGCAAAGTCTTTATTAAATCATGGTTTGACGGCCTCCCGGGGGATTGGCGCTTCGAAGTTAGTCCTAATGGTTGGACCTCTGATAAAATTGGACTTCGGTGGCTTAAGAAGCTCTTTATTCCTAGTACTTCGCGTACGAAGGGGATATACCGGCTTTTAATACTTGATAGCTACGGAAGTCATTTAACACCTCAATTTGACGAAGTTTGCGAGCAAAATAAGGTGATACCAATCTGTATGCCTGCGTATTCATCTCATCTTTTACAACCTCTTGATATTGGTTGTTTTGCGGTGTTAAAACGTGCGTACGGTCGGATGGTTGAAACTAAGATGCGGAACGGGATCAATTATATTGACAAACTTGACTTCCTCGAAGTATACCCTCTCGCACGAATTGAAGCTTTTAAACCGGAGACTATTAAAAATAGCTTCGGGGCAGCCGGTTTAGTCCCTTTTAAACCGGAGAGAGTGATCTCTAAGCTTAATATTCGGCTTCGAACCCCAACCCCCCTCTAAGCCGGGGGGAGTGAATCAAGCCGGAATTTTACGCCAAAAACTCCGTTTACAGAGAAAGATCTACGTCGATAAGCTTCGTCAATTAAAGCTTTACTTCGTACAGGATCTCGAAGCCCGCCTAGCCCATCAGATCGTGCATTAAACCAGCTTATAAAAGGCTTCCAGCTCCAGCTACAAAGTCATATTTTACAAGCGCAAGAAATCAAGGAATTACGCGCCGCCAACGAGAAGCAAAAGCAAAAGCGAGGCAAATCCCGGAGTCAGATACAGGTAGAAGCAGGCCTTACAGTACAGGAAGCTTCTCAA